TTTGTCCACTAGGTGTCTACAGCGGTGCATTGTAGTGCCAATGCACTACAGGAGGCATCACAATAGACGTTGGAGTGCAGCGCGCTGCATTTAGCGATGCAAGCCACCCTCATATTTGCGCAGAAGGAAGCTTCAGCGAGACTTCCTTTATTGCATGCTCTACCTTTGTAGAGACTTATAGAGCACTTATATTTGCTTGCAGCCAGCGTAACACGGCCAGGTGAATGCTGTTGTGCTAACTGCAGGCAGACCTTGTACATGAACGGAATTGAGTCGAGGCGGCTCTGCGGGTGCTTCTGTCATTGCTCTCGGCCCCACAACTGTGCCGTAAGTTGCAGTGTGCCGGGGCATTTTCCTAATCGCTTATTTTGTTGCCTGGGCGACTCTGCTCAAGATTCCGTTGCGTTGGTTCCCTAACCTTTTTATAGCTCTGCAATCGCCAAATATGTGGCCCGAGTCGTTGCGGAAAAAGCAAATTTGCCGCTCAGTACGTCCTTGAGGTGTCCTGGAGTTCGAATTCGCTGTCTGCTGCCGGTTGGGGTTTTTACTTCCTCTCCAGGCGGGCCTAAAATGCACTGCCCCAATACTCATAGATTCTATATCGGACCCGTCCCCATGCCCGCCTTCTTCCTTCACAGCTGGGGTAGGAGACTTGGCATCCTTTCTTTCGCTTATACGGAAGCTCTCCCTCATCTCAGCGAGTTCAAACATTTCTCCCAATTTTTCTTTCTCTATGGACCAGCTTTTCGCAAGTTGTTTCTCAAGGTAGGGCAGCCCGGAAATGAACAGCTGATACTTATGTTCTGGCTCCACAGGCAGACTTCTTTTCACCGATCTCTGGTGCTCCTCAGTGTAACGTTGTCTCGATATTTGCCCTTGCTTAGGGCTTCGTAATTCCGCGACGGTTCGAGCCCATGCAGACCCCGGAATAAAACTGCATCGTAGAGCATCCCGGAAGGACTGCATGGCCCCAGTGTGCCCTGGGAAAACGCAGCCGTTCCTTAGTCGTATCCACCAACATCGGGCGTCGCCTTCAAACAAATAACGTGCCAGTAGCAGTTTTACTTCTTCTGAGGCATTTCAAAGACGGCGGTAAAAGCTGAGGGAAGCAAAGAACTCCTCCACTGCTTCCGTGCCACGGCGCCAGTCATATCGCGACGGTCGGCAGAGTCGGAGACATTCCTCATGACTTGGTTTTGGTGAAAGTGCGCGTTCCCCCGCACCAGGTGCAGAAATCGAGCTTCCTCCTGCTCTGCGAGGCTTCAGCCCAGGTTTTCACTCCTCACATGCTGGCTTGGGGAGAAATGAAGCTGCCGCAATTTGAAAGGGTTTTGCATAGGGGAAGGGGGTCGAGTTTTTTGTAGGAGTCAAGGGGGTTTATTCTCGCTTTTTTTTTTCAGCTATGGGCGAGGCCACCTGCAGGGTGAGATTCGTTGCTTGCACCTACCAGTCGAGGCATGCGTGCTTTCAGGCTTATTCAAGGACTAACGCGAGCGGCAATGAAGCCAAAGTCTTTAGTTAAGAGCTTCCCTAAAGCAACTGACCCCTCTCCCCTGTTTCCTGGCATCCTAGACCTTCAGCTCATAACCTGCGATTGCGGGGAAGGAAGAAGCTCAACGCTATTTGCACTGCACCTCGCTGCAGCTGTCGATGCAAGCAATTCTCATATGTGAGTACAAGGAAGCTTCACCAGGTCTACACGAATGCTCGTGTTGCCAATTGCTTATTCCTATTATTGTGCTAATACTCGTAGGCCCGCTGCAACCAGTCGGCTGCAGCTGCACCGTGGCTGGCCTCCAGCTCTACACGAATGGAGGCCGCGAAAGGACTTCATAGGTGTTGGCTGCACAGCTTAGCTCAAGGAGTTTCTATTTTTGGCTCGTTCAAACAACTGAAAGCCATTGGGGTCGTGACATATAACGCGTACCCCTCAATTCTTCCCGACGTCTCTTGCTCTTAAGTGGCTTCCTTCGCTACGTGTCTTGGCTATTCTATGAAACCCCGTACGGGTAATTTGCTGTACACAGTCCGGGCCCTACTTCTGAACTCAGTAACTATGACTGCTTCGATTGAAACGAGTTCTCATATTTTAAAATTGGAGGTTTAGGCTTTTAAACTAAAACAAACAGGGGGGTTTCACTCGCCCTTTGCCTGCCCTGCTGCACCCCACGGCATCACGCTAGAGCATTACACTTTACATATGCAGACACTTCATTAGCATTGTGTTTGATCGCAGGCAACCTATCCAGGCCACACATAGGTTCCTGTGCTGACCTCTGGCAGGCCACGGTACACAGATCCTGTCTATCCGGAGTTGCTGCAGCTGCAGCGGCAGCAGCAGCAGCAGTTGAGCGCCTCACGCTCCTCTACGGCAGCATCAATAGCAGCAGTAGCTAGACGAAACGTTCTGAATAAGTAGAGCCTGCACGCAAAAAGAAATGGAGAAGGGACAACGAAACAAGTAAGGCAAACGTAAAAAACAGACGCAAGAAGAGGGAAAGAGACAGGAAGGCAGAGAAAGGGGAAGACAGACGGAGCAGCCAGGAGCGTCGATTCACGTACTGCTGTAGCGATTGCTTGCTGCTGCGGCTGCTGTCGTTGTTGTTGTCTAAATAATAGACCCGTAGGCAAATAATTAATCATATTAATCATTATAGTGTTAATAAGAATATTAATATTTATTTTATTTCAATTGGTTCGTCGTTCTGCTGCCATCACCAGGAGCAGCAGTTGCTGCTGCTGCTGCAATATAGCAGCAGAACACCGGCACAGGACCATTGCAGTAGCCTCCCTCTTTTCCGCCTTTTTGTACTTTATTTATATTTCTACGCATATAATAAATATTTGTCAATATTGTAGTTGTTTAATTCAGAGAAAACGGGAAAAGCTGCACGAATAGAGACACAAACAACAGCAGCATCATATCCCTCTCCCCTGCGGGCGATCGATTCATCTTATTTCATATACCCCTACTCTTCTTTTTTTTTCTCCTTTTCTTTTTATTTATTATTATACATCATTATAATACTTACTAGGGGCTTCGTTTGGGGTCGTTGCCTTGGTTTTGGCTTTGTATGTCTTCTTCTTATCTTCCCTTCCCGCAGATCGAATTATCATTGCATTTCTTTCTCTCTCTTCTTTTTTGTAGATTTTTTTCTCTTCTTTTCTTATTAAAGCAATGATGCAATCAAATGTTTGAACGCTTTTTTGCTGTTGCCGCGGCCGCTACTGCTGCTGCTGCTGCTGACGCCTTTCCTTTGTTTCTTATTCAGTGACCTGCATAGAGCCCCTGCAGCAGACTCAACAGCAGCTACAAATATCTACAGGAGCTGCTGCTGCTGCCTCATATAAATCATAGACAAACAAAGAAACCGAGAAACGGCAGAAAAAGAGGCAAACAAGACACCTCTCGCTGCTGCTGCAGCCTGAAACCGCTCTTTGCTGTCCCTTCGGCGCTTTTTTTTTGCTTTCTTCCTCTTCCTTTTCTTCCTGCGCCTTTTCTTTCCTTTCCGTTTTTTTATCCTCCCTTTTCTTAACATCATCATCATCTTTTTCTGTTATTTTCCCAAATCTTTTTTTTTGCTTGCGTTCGATGCTCTTCTTGTCGCTGCCATCCTCTTCTCTTTTTTGCGTCTCCCGCAGACAAAATGCAACCAGACCCAAAGTAAAAACAATGCCTGGTTCTGCTGCTGCTGCTGTATCTGCTGTTAATGGCGCTGCAGCAGCTGCTGCTGGTGGTGGGCGCTGGAGATGTTACAGGGTTGGCGTGCTTCTGCTTGCTGCAGCAGCAGCAGCAGCAACAACTGCAGCAGCAACAACAATAACGGCTGCAACACCGGCTACAGATGCAGCAGCAGCAGCTGCTGCTGTTCCCACAGCAGCTGAATTCGGGGTTCTAAGCACCGTCCCCATACAGCCGTCTGTTTTTTCTTCTTCTCCGTTGTCTTCCGATTTGCCTGTTGGCAATTTCAATTCTGCTGCAGCTGATCTTCGCATGCAGCAACAGCAGCAGGAATGGGGCTTGCCGCAGCTGCAGCAGGAACAGGAGCAGCAGCAGCAACAGCTGGTGCAGCACCGACAATGGCGTACATTGCTGCAGCAGCAGCAGCAGAAAGGCTTACTGTTTCAGGTTGGTGTTGCTGCTTTGGCTTGTGCTGCTGCTGTATTTCTTATTTTTCGTTGTTATAAGCGTCTGCAGCCGCAGCCGCAGCCTACTTCTATCTCTGCCTCTCGCTCTTTAGCTGGTATAGAAGACACTGCATGCGGAGAAGACGAAGATGAAGAAGAATACGAAGAAGAAGAATACGAAGGAGAAGGAGAAGACGAAGAAGAAGACGAATATGAACTAGAATTAGCAGCAGCAGGAGCAGCGGGAGGAGCAGCAGGATACACACCAGTGGAAGGACAACCACGAGAAGCAGCAGCAGCAGCAGCAGCAGCATCCACTCTACAGGGACTGAAAGAACTGATGAATGAGTCGATGTATACAATTCCTTTCTTAGCCGGAAACACGAAAGTATTAGCATTTTCTTTTGTTATTTCTTTTGTTATACAGGAGCTAGCTCTTTTAGGTATATATACAAATGATTCATTTGAAAAAGAAAGAGAAAAAGTTATCGATGCGATGGTAGAGCAATGTTTAAAGCTGCGGACGCGGCTTGAGCAGAGCCATATGAAAAAACACGATCGTCTAACAGCACCATTTTACAGAGTAAAAGAAATGATAGCATTGTTGAATAATATAAGATCACCCCCAAAGACATATCGAGAAGATTTCAATGCAGATAGAATACTACAAGAAACACAACTAACTAATATATGTATATTTGCATGCATACGTGCACTGAAGACCATGCAAGGATATAATCCTACTTCTTTCTCGTCGCATAGAGAAGCTTCTGTTTTTCTTAATCATCTTTTGTCTCATGCTCGTCACACTAGAAGAAAAAAGCTAGAGCTAGATGAAAGAATTTCTGCATTCATACAGCAGCGACAAGGAGGATTTAAAAAACATCATCTCTTCGATCCATACGGACGCCGACAACAAGGGGATTATATACCCCACTCTCATATAGACGAGTTAAGAAAGCTAAGAACAAGATTCAAGGGGCTACAAAAAAGAATGGAAGTGGCCATACAAGCAGACACACCCAAACGGCAGGAGCAGCAGCAGCAGGAGCAGCAGCAGCAGGAGCAGCAGCAGCAGGAGCAGCAGCAGCAGCAGGGGGGGGCGATGGGAGAGGAACAGCAGGAGTGGCAGGAGGAGGAGTCGACGGAGACGCGCCTGCAGCACGTGTGGCAGCCGCTGCCGCATCAGCAACACCAACATCAGCAGGCGTCATTGCTGCAGCAGCAGCAGCAACGAGGGCCCCCACAACCGCGCTTCCCATCGCAGCAGCTGCAGCAGCAGCTTCCTTCTGCTCCTTCAGCACAGCAACCGCAGCAGCAACCGTGGCAGCAGCAGCCGCGAGGAGGGCACCC